GCCGAATTAAAGGTAAATATTTCACCATCACTTTTCTGTAGTTCCAAGCTTGCAAAGGAGGTCATTTGAAAAAAGAAACCCTGGTAGTATGACCAGAAACAGTGGTTTTGGCTTTCAATTGAGCCTGAAGTAAATAACAATTCTCCCACAGAATGTGAAATCCTTACTTGTGCAGTAAAATATGTCATACAATAGTCAAATCCACATTATAAATTTAAATTTATAGCCAGGTCATTTTAAAAACAGAAGAAAAATAACCTAAGATCGGACGGAGTGGACTTGGCTTTCAGTCCACCTAGAGCAAAACTTCAGTAACTTATCAGTAATTTTATTAGAAAGCTATTTTTTTAAAATAAAGGTCACAATATTAACATCATTAAAACACTTTTACCCTTTAAGCCCCAATACCTGAATACACAATTTGCCAAATAATCTCCATGCATTAGTCGAGAGAATTAATTTGTTGAAAGATGAAACCCTTCTCCTTGTGGTGTTTATTTGGTTGTCATAATCTTTTCCTTTAATGAAGTAATGATGTTGTGAGGGGAAAACTGTTTTGGGTGACTCTTGGGACTTAAAGGGTTTGTAGCCCTGCCACAGTGTCAGAGTTTTTTAGTTAGGGGAGATATGACAACCAATAGAGAGAAGGAGTATGATGTCACTTTACCATGGTAGCAACATTTCTGGATCACAACAGTGGGGAGCTTAAGCAACAACCACAGCGACGGCAACGAATGGCAAAAAAGAAATCAGTTTATTATATAAACACCAATGAAATACTAGGTGAGCTTTCTTGCAAAAACTTGTTATCTTCACAGGTGGAAATAACATGTTATCCTCACATGTGAAAATATCACCTTTGCTATGGCTAGATAATAAATCGTGCCTTTCACACCAAAAAACTGTTAAAGTGAAATGGTTTGGTATTTCATTGGTGTTTACATAATAAATAGAACATTACATGGCTGCTTGGACATACGGAATTTCTCTTCTCGTTCAACACTTGAAGAGAAATTTCTTATCTCCGTGCGGCCATGTAATATCCTCTAGCAAAACAACAACTTTGCAAGTGCATCAAATTTTTCTGTACATTTCTTATCCATCGTTGCAAGTCTGCAGCTTGAAACTTCCTAATTTCACGTAACTGGTTTATGGAGTTGGTGAACACAGCACAAAAATTTTCTTTTTCTTTTTCTAAAGTCAGATATGGTCCTTTTGGATTCAACCCCAGAAAATAATTTCGCCACGATTTTACAAATTAAAAGAAACTGAATAAGATCGATAAGTTTGAAACAGTGTGAATTCACTTTTTAAGTGACCTTTTCACTTTGTTGTCATCAACAAATCTGACATAACGACTTCTCCTCTCCATTTAATATCAAGAACCTAATCATGATGACAGAGACTTGACACTGACCAAGAGGTGATCCAAAGAAGCCCTAGCATTTGGGTCATTCTTTAAGCTGCATTCACTAAGGGAGAGAAGTGGCTTGCAACCAATCTTGGTTGCAATCTGCCTTAACAGTTGGCCAAGGGCATATACATCACTTGCATGAGATGGAGGGTGGGTTCCTGCAACAACTTCAGGGGCAACATGTGTGTACTTCTGTTTGTATGTCTCTTGTTCTTGTTTGGACAAAACTTTTCTACTGGCTTCCTGTTTTCTAATGCACTTTCCAAAATCAATGATTACTGGCACAAACAGTGTATTTTTGTATGTAAGCAAGATGTTATCACCTTTTATATCCTGATGAATCAGTCCAGAGTTGTGCAACACTTTGAGTGCTTCTAGAAGTTGCAAAATGACATCAAACCACTCTTGATTTTTTAAAACCAAGGTACGGCTATGTAACGTCCTGTGAAGAGTGTATGCTTTGCCTTCCACATTGCAAAACTGAAGTACTAACAGGTAAGGTTTGCTTTGTACACAAACACCATAAACGTAGGGAAAACATGGGTGATCCAACTGTTTCATCAGTGATGCTTCTTTGATAACACTGGACTCTGATGACAGGTGTGTGTTAAATTGTTTAACAGCAACTGAAATCCCTCTGTAATTCATTTTATAACAACGTCCAAAGACACCACATCCCAGTAACAGAGGTTGGTCAGTAGAACCACTTGGATCTTTCACATGACTGAGATGACTTCTCTTTACATGTGACACCGGTTGATCTGCAGAAACTGGGGCATCTTTATGTGCCTGTTTCTCATTCTCCATAGTGTTTGATTTATCCATTTTGCTAGTCTGAAAAAAATTAATACCATTCTTGCCAATTATGAAATCTGATTGGTTCTCAGTAGCCCTTACATTTTTTAATTGCTTAATTTTGCTGACGCACCCATTTCACCCTCCCCTCTAGATCCGCTCCTGATCTAGTATAAACAAGAACGCGGTAAATCGTGTCCTAGGGCTTTGAAATTTCAAAGTTTTCTGGGGAAGCATACCACAGACTTTTCCAAAAGGAGGGGACTAGCGGAACCTTGTTGTTACAGTCGGTTACTGTATTTAAACCTGCTGGGGCCCGTTTCTCGAAATTCCCAATAATTAACGGGCCCGTAAAGCTGTTGTTGTTTACATGCAAGGTAGAGGTTTCAATAGTTTTGCATCTAACATGATAAAAATATCAGTTAATGAAACAGAATGGAGTAGTTTACTAGCCAGAACCCGCGTTCTGATTCTTTATATTTCGATTTGAAAATTTGATTTCGGGCCCGAAACGTTACCGGGGCTTTCGAGAAACGGGCCCCTGGCTACTTCAATTAGTAATGAATAGATAGCTGTGAGATATTAGCAGAAGTGGCAGATGTTAAAAGTCTTTATTACACCCATTTTGAAATCACTGGTGGTCCCTGTAATCTGATTGGCTCTGATTGGTGCGATTTATTCACGAATTGCACCATTTTTTGCTTTAAATCGCAAAACAGCCAATCAGACTTCAAGGCTTGCAGATGTTAAAAGTCTTAACCCTTCACTGTAAACATTAGATGATATTTAACGGACTACGAAAAATTACATCAAATGGCGTTCCTACCCGTTCACGAAGATGTAGAGCATGCCATTTAGCGTAATACTTCCTCGCAAGATGGAGCAATCTTTCATTCTTCGCTACGGTCATCGCTCGCTCATCTTCAAGTGCTAACAGAGCTTTTCTTCTTTTATCTTCTTTGTTCGCCGCTCTAGCCTTTCTCTTTCGCTTTCTTCTGTCGTTCTGCATTGCTGCTCTTTCTTTAGGGGTATTCTTTCTCCAAGAAAATGGCTGGTTTGTCTTCATAATATTTATACGATGCTTATGACTGCCGTCCATATTTCCCGCCTCTGAGCCATTTCCCGCGTAAAATTGGGTCAGCAATGATGCTCAATTAGATAATTATGTCATTTATGATACGCGAAATCTCCATAAGGGGTGAAACTTTGGCTTGGTGGGGTTGATACCTTTTAGGGAATGTAATCGTTCATCAACGACTTAATTTGTCCAACAATTCCAACATTTGACATATTTTACTCTGTAATACAGTAGCTCTTACACATTTCAAGGGGCCAGGATGTGTTCTTTAATTTATATTAAGTTTTGCACAGATTTTTACATGATAGAAGAAATTATGTGTGCACTAAAACTGGTCTGAAAAAAGATTATGCATAGGTTTTATGTCAAGCCTGTGCATTAATAATCAAGGAATAAGAAAATAGTTGAAGGGTAGGGTGACTCCTGATGTAATTTTAATAAATTCATTTGATCCTGTTAGCCCTTTAACCAAACAAAAAATGACTAGTTTCCAAACCCTGGGCCTTTTAAAATACTTCAAAAAGTTGAATTCCAGCCCTTTCAAATACCTGAAGCCTGAAAAATGGTACCCCTAAGCAGATCCTCCAATTGTGTATAAAGCAGATATCGTTCATTTCTCCTCCGTCTGTTCCAGTCCTTTATCAGAGGCAATTGGAGTATTGTTCTGGCACCCATCCACAATGCACGGAGTACATGCCACCCTTTTTCAGTTAAAATGTATGTGGGTTTATTTCATTCTTGACTGAAAATAGATTAATATGAGCAGGGTATTTTTTTTACCAAGATCACCTAATTGGATTTGAGTAAGATAGAAGCAAGCTAGGTTTCAAGAACTGAAAATCGTTCCAAACCCACAATTTAGCCACATCATCCCACATGTACATGGTTTTACATACAAATCCTTGTAATTTCGAAATTTTCAAAACTGTCATGAAATAATACCAAAAGCATTACAGGGCTCAAATATCCTTTTAATTCATAACAGGCAATTTGAGCCCTTAAATGTGTAAGGAAAGGATTAAACGACAGTTTAAAAAATTTTAGAACTTACAAGGATTTGTATCAAAAACCATGCAAGAGTGACTGAGTGGCAAAAGTTGTTTTTCTCATACAAATACTTCTAACTTTGAGTGGCCGTTGCACTCACTACTTTTGAAAT